TATATATGTCATATTCGATTTAGAAAAACTTATCATTGTTTCTATATATAAATATAGTAATTTTGACATATTCAGATCTACACTAACATTTGTTTCTTTTATAACAAACAAATTAGTTGAGCAGTCTAGGGTAATGATATCAAGAAATAATATTTCCAAACCGTTGATTTTGAAAATTCATTATATAAATAAGAATGTATGGAAACAAACATTTCCGCTCATACTAGTTCCTAATTTTAGAGAGGAAACTCTTGAATAACAAAGTCTGCTAGACATATTCTTGATCGTTTTTGCTCAAAGAATGAAAACTTTTTTTGTTATTCAAAATATTTCTCAATTTATATTAGTAAATGATGAAATGTTTTTTTAATCATATACATTTCATCTAAAAATATAAAAGTCATGAAGTAGTTTATTTATAGTTTTCTCACAGTAGATTTACTTAATTAAAACTTATGAAGCTTTTCATTAGTCTAGTTGGAATTTCTTTAAGAACACTAGCACATGTATACAATAAGCATACTGAACTCTTACGAGAAAAATCTTACGAATCTATGACAAAATCTAACAGAATAAGTTTCTAACATTATATTACGAAATAGAACAACGCATTTCAACCAATGACTTCAGGAATACATTATTGCGGACAAAAGTCACATGATTCTACTAATCGATGTGTTATATGTGGATCAAAATCAATTGGAATAAACTTTGGAGTATTAACATGTGCCCCTTGTAAAGGTATTGCATTATATTTTTATTTATTCTTTTATATCATATTTGCTTTTATTTTATTTGAAAATAAAAGCTTTTTTCCGACGAAATGCACGACGAAAAGAAGTAAGAAAAACAGTTGTTTTCCTACTGAAAAGCTATTTATTATTGTTGTTGTTTAGCTTCTTGAATTACCATGTCGACATCGTGATATGAGTGTGGAAATGATGAATAATCACGCGATGAATGAAAGAGCGATGCGTTATTTACAAATTCGTCGATGTTCATCATGTCGATTGCGTCGTTGTTTTGATCTGGGAATGAAAGAAGAATTAGTTCGCACAGAAGAAGAAAATAAACGATATAGACAGCTTCTTGATGTAAATCGTCGACAACGAGAATTATTAACACAACAAATACGAGAAATAAAGGAATTATCAATTCCTCAGGTAAATATTGATCGTAGGAAATAGATGACTGAAAACGAAATAATTTGATCGTTTATTAGTATAAAATTATTCATTTCTATTTTGAACTTATCATTTATGTTGTCTCTACGTATAAAACGTGTGTTTTATCAGTATCTAGTAAAATGAGAAGTTTTAGTAAACGTAATAGATAACATAGATCTACAAAGATTGCCCAGATTTAATGGCACGGATATGCTTAGTAATAGACAGAATATAAGAAGAAGTTTTATAAAACTAAAGAAAAATAGTCCTTTGAATCAGTTGATCCGATGAATACTTTAGCGTAGTTCTATTTCTTTATTATATATATATATATATATTCATATTTACTAGATATAACTAGTAAAATTATCAGTATTTAATATAGTTTGACTCATTTAGACAACAGTTATTGACTAATCACTCATATAAATTTAATAGTATCGAAAAGAAAGATTTCTTCATCCTTTATTTTGAATATTATTATCAAGTCAAATTTATGTATATAGTATTCTCCAATATATACTGCATACATTTCTGATATATTGACCATAGAATCTTACTTTTACTGTACATCTTATATATATAAGTGTATATCACATGTGAGTGTTAAACAGTTCGTTTCTATATTCTTCTTCTGTACGATATAGTTGCTTTCTATACGCTCGTCATTAATTCCAGAGTACTTATCGAATACTTTTTCTGCATGAGATTAAAAAAACTAATTTCATATTTAACCTCGAGAGAAGACAATTAATTCTTATTTGCACCATTTATTTGACTTCCTGAAAGATTATAAGTTGTCAAAAGATAATATAAAATATATATTTAGGATGAATATCGAATGTAGAAAAAATTTGAATGTGAAGAATCCCTTCAACTTACTTTCCTTTATCATATTGGTTCATCATGTAGTCTAACGAATACATAAAATAATAATTGTTCCGGTTAATTAAAATATATCGAGGTCAACGTTCTCAAAACAAACAGTGAATAAATATTAATGAACAAGATTTAAATAAACAACTAACTATTTTGATGTTATATTGGTAGCTAAGAAACTTTATTATCTTTCCAGCGTCATCATATTCTAAAAGATAACAATAATTTGTGAATGATCTCTACATATTCATCTTCATTAATTAAAGTGTTGTAAGGATTACTTCTATATTGCTTTATATTTTCTTTTGCAGCATATGGTAGATAATATTGATCTATCAGCAGAAATAGACTGGCGTCATTTATCAAATATTGTTTATGCTTATGAGTCATGTTGTATTAAAACTTATCTTCGACAACGTTCTTCAGTTATTTTCAATAGACCACCACAATCACCAGATGAACAACCATATAATATATACCCAACAACTATAACAATGAGTATAGTTCTGGCAGTTTCTTCATTTCTTAAAACATTACCAGCTTATTATTCTCTTCCTCGTTCGACTCGAAACTATCTATGTAAAACTAATATTCGACCATTAATCTTTCCTAATCTTCATGAACTCAATCAATCATGTTATGCTGAACCATGGCAGGTAAAAAAAGAGTCAAAATCATCCAAAAATAGTTATTTATTTCAACAAGATCAACGATTGTTTCTTGTTGTGTTCTAGGTGAATGCTTATAATAAAACATGGCAATTAATTTGTGGTATACAATTATATGAAGAATTTAGTAGAGCTGAAAAAATGGCTGAGAAATCATGGATAACTGATCCAATAGTGACACGTTTATTTGTTGTCATCTTATTTTTCTCTACTCCTCTTCATTATCATCATGATTCTCCAACAAAAATACTAAAGAAAAAACAAGCTATTTTTCAAGCTCAAAATGCATATATAACACTTTTATGGAAATACTTAACATACCGTTATGGATCAGTAGGATCAATTCGAATTTATCTAAATCTAGTTCATGTATATATGAAAATGCAGGAAGTTGGATATGGTATGTATATGCAATTGACAACACAAAAAGATTTAGTTGCAACACATGAAACTCTAAGCAAATTGGTTACACTTGATATTAATGATACGCAAGAGCAAAGAAAAACAATTAGAAATTAACATTAACAATGTAATTTTGGAGATGAAAGAACTGAAATATCTTATATGTATATTTTATTTCAAAAGAAATAAAAGATATGAAAATGCAATTGAATGATTTGACAAAATTGAACAAATACAACGGATCAGCTGTGTGCTTAAGACAGTTTACTTTTATTCTTTTTTTGTATGTAACATGACCTATATGTCTGTGATTCTTTTTTTTTGCTTAATTTACTCTATCTCAATTAATGATAACAGTAACCATTTTTCATTAACTTAAACAATAAAAAATGAATTGAATATTTTGCCATTAACTTAATTCGATCCTAAAGAGAATAACAATTATTATAAATTATATTTTACCGATATTCAGGAGTTAAATATTCATAGTAACATAAGTGATGGTAGTTTTTATTATGATGAAATGAGGCAAGAAAACAAACGTGAATATCGTTTATCATGTCTCTTGATATTACGTTTGTTGTTTATTATTTTTGCTTTCATAGATTTTTATTCATGAAATGTTAATTGATTTATGTTTCACACCCACAAGTTATCGGAGAACGTACACAATTTTTCACACGAATAAAAAAGAGATAATATGCATATCTAATCGAACCAAGAAACATATCAATAATTGGCTTTGTGATCGATTATCAATGCATCGACAATGGTCTGCATCAAAAATTAAGATGTATGAATTATCAATTCTAAAATTTTGTCTCCTCCTATAAATATATTACTATTCATTCAATTGAATCAGTTAGCTAAATAATAACAACACAGGTGAAATCATCAAACTTACTTGGATAATGTTCTCTTCATGGTTTGTAGTATTGATGTTACTTCCATGTATACAATTGGCTTTTTCTTATGTTGCCGGTGAGTAATTTAAGACATAAAAATAACTTCATATTTGAGGGTGCGTGTGCGCGAGGATGTAGATAACTAATCAACATTCATACACACACCCCGCGCACACCCACACCCATACCCAAAAATAAATTTTGTTTCGTTTTAGAGTTGCTTTTATTATGGTTGTCCTACATCAAAACGATTTCGACATCAAGCCGTCAATATTATCAAATGATTCACACATAAAAGTTAAAGAAACTAAATACAACCAGCCATATGTCAGTCTCACAGAGATCGTACGTAACAGTAGTCAGTTTTTGTTTAAAATGTAACAATGACATTTTTTTATTCTATCGTTCAGTTATTTCGTATTATCGATGAAGTTTGTTTCATTGTTATAATATGATTTGAATTTAGTCGTAGAAAATACATACCAATAGTGATATATTTTAACTTATATTGGATCGGAGAGTAATTATTCAATGATTGTATGTTATGTTGTTTTATGGAAATCAATATAAATTATTAATAGGAAATAAAAAGAATAGTGTCTCTTTAAATACAGTCATAGTTCACAGTTTGCACCAAGTTGTGATGGACCTACTGAGAGTGAAGTAGATAATATAGTACATTGGTTTGTTATCTATTCTTGGTAGTTCCATTACATCCTATAGCAAACATCCATGTTTTTTTTGTGTTTTATTGAATATCTGTTACAGCTTCATGTTTTAGTATCAAACAATATCTATCTATACATTGTAATCTTTTATCAATAGACACAAATTCAAGTTTAATTATACAACAAATAAAGCAATGATTTTATTTAAACAAAAAAATAATATGTTGATTAATTCAAGTTAAACAAAAGCAATACAATAATAAATATGAATCTAATCCGAGTTCAAAATATAATAATTGAAAACTAGTATGATTAAACTCCAGCTCTTTTTAATTTTAATAATTCTTTTTTTTGATCGATATAAATCTAAAATAATAATAGAGAAAGAAATAATTTTTAAATGAAAATAAATTATTATATGATAATATACTCGATCGATTGCTTCTAATAATTGATCAATTTTATCAGGAAAATTTTCAATTGGATCAACATATTGAGAACGCATTCGAGAGTCTTGTATTTCATAAAGTTCTTCAACATTTGGTCTTCGCAAATCTAAAATATCAAATAAAGAATTTTTATTTAAATTTATTAAATAGTTTTTACGTGTCCAATTTAAAAATTTCTTTAACATATATGATAAAATTTGTTGATCTTCAATTGGAGTTTCTTCAACATGATGAAAACCATCATTAAGTATTGAAATAAACATACTTAAACATATAAAAACAACAATAATAATAAAGACTGAAAAACAAAATGGACCCAGAAATGGATCAGCTCCAGTAAAATCAGTTGCATCAAAACTCATTAATGTTATTTCAAATAACATTTGAGCTGTTGATAATAAACTTGAACATGATGCAATGCTTGAAGTAAATAATAAATAAAATAATGAAAGAAAAGACATAAATACAATTGAAAACATAAATGAAAATGAAATAATGTCTTTTGTAACATATTTAAGTGTTTGAACAAATATTCTTAATGATTTATTAAACCGAATAAATTTAATAAATTTAATTGTTCCAAAAAAACAACAAAAACCAAGAAGAGATGTTAAAACATCATCAACATAAACTATCATTTGTAAATTAATATAAACATAACCATTTGTTTCGCGAAAAAGTGAACTTAAGCGATTATATTCTTTAAAACGCCAAATATAAATAATAATACTTGTAATCGAACAACTTATTATACCAATTTGAATTACTGACCAAAATTCATAAAAATATTCTAATTTTAGTTTAATTAATAATTTTATTTCAATAATAAGAAAATAAATAATAAAACATATATAAATAATTGTACAAATCAATTGTGTTAATGATGTAAATACTAAATCAAAACAAAATTGTCAATGTAAAGTCAGTGGTTTAGAAAAAAAATCTCATACCATAGAAATTAAGTGGTTCAAAACGAGCGGATGAATGAATTCCACTTGCAGATAAAAATTCGAGCAGAAAAGTAACTGAAGTAAACAATGCAACATTTGGATTATATAAAGTTAATTGAATAATAACAGCTCTTGTCTTAGAATCAATCCATTGTAATTGATGAAGTAAAGATAAATTACTTTTAAT